ACCGGCCACGGTATTGTCTGGCTTGAACACCGCGCCGTAGAATCTCTTCTGGTGGTCTGGCCTCGAGGCGCCCATGACAAAGCCGAGGTTCATGCTGTCGATCATGACGCGCTTGCTCACCCTGAGGTATCGGAGGATCACCTGCGCAGCGCCGTGGTTGCCAGATACCGCAACGCCCGCGCGGAAGTCAGGCTGAACGTCATGCTCTTCCGAGAAGTCGAACCTGAAGTCAGGGGCCAGCTTGACGGTCTTGCCCTTGGCCTTGGCGATCTTCGCGTCGACGACGTTGCCAATGCCCCAGCCCCAGACGAGCTGCATCGCGAGCTTGAAGTCCCTGTCGTTGTTGAGGATCCGCTGAATGACTTCGGACGGCATGAAATCGTCGCCATCATCGCGCTTGTCCCAGACGCCGCAAACGCCCAAGTCCACCGGCATGCCGTACTAAATGAAGTAAGACTCGGCAACAGCGTTGAAAGACCTTCGCTCACACCTTCCTTTCTTGAAGTTAACGACCATGGGCCGCAAGCCTCCAATGTCGGGACCGCGCCTCCAAGCGAAGGCGTCGGTGTTGACCCTGATGCTGCCGTTCTGGATCACGCGGGCGAAGCTGTCGAACAAATGCTTAGCCGAAGCGCGATCAACGTCGGACTTGAAGCGCAAGCCGTGCTTCTGCGACCCCCACTGAATCAGCAAACTCAGCATGCCGACAGCGCTAACAAACGGGAGCTTCAGGACGCGCATCGCGAGCTCCTCCCTCGCCAGCGCGGCTCGCTTGTTCGAGGACGGTTGGCTCTGGCGAAGGTGGTGGCGAAGTTGCCGCGCGCGTCAGGCGCGCCCCCATGCTCCCCGACGGCTCGCGAGCCAGGAGCCCCCGCTCACGTGGACATGGAGACTCAGCAAACATTATGAACCCGGCGGTTTGCGACGCAGCTGGGCGCGCGAAAGAAAACTTGTCGATCATGTGCCTGCCCGAGAAGTTGTCGATCCACTCTGCGAAATCGCTGCCCGCTGACCTGATGAACGTCTCGCCCTGGTCTGACACGAGCGCGCTTTGCTTGGGGAACTCCGTCACCTTGCCATGGTCAGAACAAATTGCGCGGGACCCCCCCCCCCCCCCCCCCCCCCCCTCGAGGACCCCGCGCGCGGGGGGGGGGGGGGTCGAACACGCAGCTTCGGGGAAGGAGGAAGAAGAAACTCCTCTTCCTCTTCTCCTTCTCCGAACCCTACTTCCCCCAACGGCTCGCCCCCCCCCCCCCCCCTTCCGACTTGCCCCGCGCGCTCCCCCTCCTGCCCCGACTCACCCTTCCACTCGTCACCCTGCTCCTCCTGTTTCGTTCCGAAGCCGATCACCACCCAGTGCGACTCGTCTGGGCAATCGACGCACGCGCAGTTGTCATGAAACTCAATGGCCCAATGATCCGCGCCCGCTGGCGGGGCCAGCATCCTCGCGGCCTCGCGGGTCAGAGCGTTTGTTTTCAGAGAGCGCTGCTTCTTGCCAGGGTCGAGCCAGAGCTGGGCGACGCCGTCGTGCGCCACCTGCGCGCCCTGCGCGGCAGCGCCAGCCATGCCGACTGGAATGGCGGCCTGGGGCGCTGGCTGAGCGCCGCCGCCGCCGTCGCCCGCGGCGGAGGCCGCGCCGCCCCCGTGGGGGGCCAGGGCGTCGACGCCAACGCCCATCGCAAGGCGACTAAGCCGACGTTGCACGTAGTCGAAGCGCACTGGGCGATTGACAACGGGCTGCGCTAGGAGCCCACGCTGCGACGACGGATGAGGGCCGAGGGAGAAGGGCGAGGGCAACAAGGCGGAAAGCTTAGCCGTCCTCGAACCCCCCCCCCTCCCTCCCTTCGCCGTTCACCCCCTCGAGACCCCATCCGAACCGATTGGGGGGGGGGGCTGTTAGCGCGTGGAGGGGGTCGATGCTCTCTTCTTGGATGCCGCCCGCCTCTCGAAGAGCGAATTGTCTGGCCCGCGCGCTGACCTCGACGGCTGACGCGCAAGCGACGAAGGGCGAGAAGGTGGCCGACGACGAGGGCGGCGAGGAGGAGCACCGTCGGCGATGGCAACCGGCATGAGAAGGGACGACGGCAACGCAACCGACGCCACTCAAGACAATCAACGCCGAAGGTCGTCACCAATCGCTGTCGGTAACGACCGCCGTCACCATCCCAATGATTGGGATGCGACGGCGGCCGCTACCGCCGCCATCGTCACAGTCGTCGGCAACAGCAGCAAGCGCGAACTCGTTCAGCGATGCCTCGAAAGATCGATGGGACACCCGGCGTGGCAATCTGATGCGATTGCCGATGACGCTGCTGGCTGGCCCACACGACCGCCAACACAAGGCTACTCGGGCGAGCATCGGGTCGCGCACTGGCCTCGAGGGCACGAAGCAAGCAACAGCTGAAGTAAGATGGATTGGTCCCCGATGCAACTTCGCACTCTCGCTGCCTTCGAAGCCAGGCCAAAGGGCTCTGTGACAGACACCGCATCAGCTCAATCGTTGTTCAAATTCGAAGAAGCGCTTCTGTTCAAAAGAACGCCCAGCGCGCGCAATGCTTTAAAGTAGTCCTGGACCCTAGCCCGAGGACCGTAGAAATTATTCCATCCAGCTCAAGCTCGGCAGCCTCTGCTGGCGTACACGAGCTCGCTGGCCGCGCCTCATGACTAGCAGGCATGTCATTTGCAGGGGGGCCCTTCGTCTTCCTGCGCCTCGACTCCTGCTGCACCTCCATGATCGCTAGTGAAATCTTCACGTCGGTGGACATTATATTCGCAACCTCCTCGTCGAGATCACGGATGACCTTCTGCGCGGACTGCTTCAACTGGATCGATGGGCTTTCGGGTCGGCGAGCTGGTACCACGGCTGGTCAGCCTCGCTGCTGAACCTCTCGAAGCATGTGAAGACAGGATCCCCGTCGGTCCCCTGCGCGAACCTGTCGCTCCAATTCTTGGCGAAATACCATTCGGAATTGTCTGTCTGGTTCTTCGGGACCGACGCGCGCCCCGGAAATGTGAATTGACTCCATAATCGTGCCATTGATGCCATCTTTAAACATCTTTAAACACCCCAAGATGCTTCCAATTGAACTCAGAAGGCTGGGGAGAAAGAGCCCGGTGCGACGGCCAGCGAGATCGAAACGCAACGCACAAGACCTCAACGAGGCAGGCAGAGACCTGCTTGTTTTTTATGTCCTCGAAAATTTCGCACGTAGACCTCAACCCCGTGAGACACTCGAGGAGCCTTCTGCATTACCCCTGCGTTTTTTTGACGATGGTCGTGACTGCGGCACGGATGAAATAGTTAGGGTCTTTCGCGTGGATCACCTCTCACACCCGATATGTTGGCAACTGGCTGATCTTGTCCATGTCGGCCCACACCTCGTCGACGTCGTCGTCCACGACCTTGTTCGCCTTGGATTTCTTGGGAACGGGCCCTGATGTCATATCATCACCATGAACAGCATGCAGCGTTGGTAACAATTTTGACGGCGACGTCAGCAGCTCCATGCACACGGAGGCGAATACTTGGGGGAGCTTGGAGGCGGAGGAGTCCTGAGCGCATTGCTTATCGAACTGTGCCTTCTCTTTGGGAGCCATGGTCCATGTCGCTGCAGCGTGGCTCGGACTGTGTGCTGTCGGGATGCAGGCTGTGTTGCGCTTCCTGTTAGTCGTCAGATCCGTCTTTGAGGGCGTGGCGAATTTTGAGAGACCCATTCTGGCACTCAAGTTGGCTATGGGAACTCAGCGCCCGGAGCACACCTGGCACGGACAAAAAAACCTGGGCGAAATGGCTACGGAGACCAGGAATCCCACTCGCATTTGCGTCGAAACCCTATGGCATTATCGTGGCCTCGTTCTTTTGTAAAAGGGGGATGATTCAGGGAGGCGTCGTGCTGGTTTTGCATTCTGGGAAGGGGGCAATTGACCCTCCACGCGCATGTGGTCCTTCAGGAAGCCCCCAGCCCATGGGTTACCGTTTGGAACCGATGTAACCAGTGTGTAGAACCTGGATAACTTCAAACATCAACCAGGGAAACCATACATTGAAAACCCTATATGGGACCCCACCTCATATGGGATCTCATCGCTGTTCCAGTTTACCAGGCGGTCCTGCATCAAAACGAAATGGCAGCTCCGCCAGAAGCGTAAACAAAAACATCCCTCGGAAAATTTACCCACACTCGCCTCTACAATACCATGAATACGTTCCTAGAATGCGAATGATGTTGGTGCGACGTGTCGTGTGTTGGTGGCGTGCTAGTTTATGTCGGCTGTATGTCTGAGAATGTGCATGCGTGGGTGTATTTACCCTCGAATCGGGTGGGTGCTGGCTAGTGTTACAATATGGTTGTTCGTGCCTTCGCACGAGTGCTATTGCTTGCTTTTTATACACTGCAACGTTGGCCCCCATGAGTGGCAACCCGCGGGTTCTCCGACGCGCGATGTCTTACGCATTGCGCGGCATGCGAAGAAGCGCACAACGCGTGACCTATACTTCTGTTTTGCAGTTTGTATGCTTGGCACCCGAGATCGCCCCACCCACGAGCAAAAACTCAACGTTAAGATATCGCCTAGACCTACTTCGTGGGCACCACAAGCACCCCCCCTTACTGTGGTTCGTTTTCCCTGCTACCCCTCGCGATCGCACTGCTGCCCACCCTCCTCATCCATGGGTATCTGGGTTTTCCCTTATCGTTGTCGCCGGCGCCCCTCTCCTCTTCAGCCTCTTTCTTTCGCTCATCCTCGTCCTCCCCTTCGTCCTCCTACTTTCGGATCCGCGCAGTCCTTACGGACGTGCACTACCGTCTGATGTTGGCGAGTGAACATAGCCGCCCAAACGGCGAATGTATCTTGTTGAGGCAGGAGGTCCCCCTGCACGGGCGTCACTATCCTTTCGAACCCGGAGGAACAACGAACATGTCATAAACCTAAACTTCAAGAGGTCCACGCGGAGGAACCCACACACGAACCAACGAATTCGACATCCTAACTATGTACGCCTACGAGCAGCCAGACGAAGGAACAACTCGAGGGTTGATGCTCGCGCTTGGAGATGAATTGACGCACGGCTGCCTAGTCCGCGTCCCCGATATCGTGTAAAACGTTTTCTGCACGGTCAGGAGATCTTTACTGTCGCCGTAGGGATCAGGCACGATACTGTGCGGAAGCCCGTCCGAAGGCCTTCTCAACGTCATCAGACTCGTGGGTGTCGGCTTCGGGCGCACATCAAGACGAGAGCGCAGCCGCTTTAAAGCTAGCCTGACGAGCGGCTCGTACGTTTCAGACGCGATTACATGATATGGCCGCATCTGCTTCTCCATGTGATTGATGTGGGCCATGACTTGCAGGAACTGCTTGGGGTGCACGAAGATGTGGGTGTCCTCGTAGCGACAGCTGAACCCCGCCCGTTTGTTAAGTTCTACCCGCCGCCATGCCCCCATGGCACGTGGAGGCACGGCAGAAGTCGTCTCTGAGGCTCCCCCCCGCCACCCACCCACCCTTTCCCAGTACAGTGCCGCATGCGCCCCCCCCCCCCCTTCCCCCCCCTCCCCGAGGCTTCTTCGGTGGCCAGACGCCTCCCTGGCCGTTGCAGGGCTCGCGAAGGCCCCCAGGACGACCACAGAAGGCCTCCGAGGCCGCCAAGAAGGCCCCTCATGGCCTCAAGAGGACCCCCCAAAAGCGCCCAAGAAGCGTCCAGCAATATCCCATGAGGCGTCCAAGAGGCCCAAAGACATCCCGATGACGCTCTCCTGGAGGTCCTCGAGAGGCAAAAAGCAATGACATTCCAATCGTGAGTGTTTCAATGCTCTTCGCTTTCGCGTTCTTCAGCCGAAGATCGTCACACAAGTGCCCACTGAGAGACCGAAAAAGATCCTAAACGGGCCAGGACGGCCCAAAGAGAAACCCCCGCTGGCACACGGGCCCCCCCAGAGAAATTCCAAGATGCCCCCAAAAAGGCCACAAGACTGCAGAACACGCTCCAAGACGGTCTCACGACGGCCCCAGGAGACCCTCCAGACGGACCAGAAGCGCTGCAAGGACACCCCTAGCAGGGCACGAGGAGGCCCAACAAACGAACACATGCACCTACACCCGTATGCTCATTCACTTCCACACGTGCATGCAGACAGGCAAGCAGGCACGCATGCAAGCTTGCACATGCACGTGCACACATACAGGCACACATGCACAGAGTATGTGCGCGTGTGTGTGTATATATATATAGATTTATATATATATATATATATATATATATATAGATAAGAACCCTCGAAAAGTGACTGCACTGAGGGGGTCTAAGTTGTGGTCTAAGGAGCTGGGCCTGGCAGGCGGCCTCGTTTCTATGCTGTCGCTATCGCCGCCCCGTCGTCGCCACGTCGGCGGTCTGGCGCGCGTCTTGTCGCCGTCGCCGCTCGTTGCCGCCGCCCGTCGCCGCTGCCTCTGGGCCTCGCCGTCGGGCGGCGCGGTTGCTGTCGTCGTCGTCGCCGCCGTGCGTCGCCGCTGCTTTCTGGGCCTGGCTGGCAGTCGTCGCGCCTGTTGACGCCACGGCCGCCCGTCGCCGCTGCCACATGGCCCAACCGAAATAGATTGCGGTTGGTACATTCCCTTGTCTAAAACTGATACAGAATCCGCTTCCTCCCCTGGACTTATCCCCCCCCCCGCCCCCCGGGATAGTACAGTCTGCATACGTGTCTGTTCCGCCGCTCAGTGCAAGGATGGGCACATACCATCCTAAAAAGTTTGTTGTACGACCGCCCCCATCATCCCTGTCAAATAAAACCGTGACCGCGCACTCGTTTATCAAAAATACGCAATTCCGAAGAATCCCGAACACATAAAACGTTACAAAGTCCTCACGTGCGCGCCGTCGCGCGCGCATTCCTGAATATGTCACACATCCTGGGTTGCGTAAGGATGTCGGGATCGAAATACGTGCCCACGCACAAAAAGCTTCGCTGTTACAACACCGTGTTTCAACAAACTAACCGCGCTCTGGCGACACACCATGAAAACCGTAACTGTTCCAAAAGGTTCGTCATATCCAGCCACGCGGGCCTTGCGCACACGTGTCGAAATCAATCGAAGCCTCGCGCGTTTGCTGGGGGAAGGGCACGATCTCCGTCAACGCGGGCCACTCGCCCAGGTCGGCCGCGCGCGCATGCCGAAATCGCTCCAAAGCCTTCATCAGCGACACGTGGACATCATCATCATCATCATCATCAGCATCATCATCATCATCATCATCATCATCACCATCAGCATCAGCATCAGCATCATCATCATCGCCCGCCCGAGTCACCGACCCGCACTGAAGCGCTCGCGCGCCAACGTGGCCTGTGAGACGCGCTGGGCATGCGGTAATCCCCATCGGTCAGCGCCACCGTTGCCGCGTCGGCTGCGCCAAAATAGCTGGTCGCCTTGCGCGCGAGCTTGCGCGTGCCAGCGCGGCCACAGATGCGCCAGCCAGCGCCAAGCAATCATTGCAATCAGCGCCGCATGGGTTTTGCAAACCAAGTTGTGGGTGGGTGGGTGGGACGAGTGCGCGAACAATGGAGTTGACAACTCTAAAGTCGCTAAAACAAATTTTGCACCATTTGCATTGCACTGAATAACACCATTGACCGGACCGCACCGCACAGATGGCGCTGCGTAGATTGCACCGGTTAGGTTGCCACACGTAGTGCGCCGCATTGATTGCGTGACAGACGCTGCACCACATACACCCTCCTTTCTTCAAAATATGATCTACGACCTCCCCCCCCCACCCTCGCCTCCCCACCCCCTACCACCAACCCCCAGGATGATCAGTTCCCCTGGGATAATACAAAAAAGCCGGCCTTGTCGCTCATTTAACACATGGACCCATATAGCCCCAGCCAGGCCGTCATCGCATCTCCCCCCCCCTCCAACACCCACCCCCGCCCGCCCACCCCTTCATCCCTGTCATCAAAACGACGCGCGCGCGCCCGTCTATCAAAAACCACCAATGTTCAACAACCCCTCTTTGGAAACGCGAAACATAGTCGACGCGCGCGCCGCCGCGCGCTCGCCATGTTTTCAATATCGAACTGCCCGAAACGCATCGAAAAAAACATGTGTTGCACATTTCGTTTTACTTAAGACACGCGCGCCTTTTGTGGATTCAGAGCCACTGATTCTTCGACATGTTCATCGAATGCCGCCAAGCGGGCCTCTCGCGCGCGCGTCGGAGCCATTCGGACGCCTTCGCGCGCTTGCGGCGGGGGGGGGGAGCGACCTCAGCCAAATAGCACCATTCGCACGCGTCGGCGAATGTGCAACAACATCGTCACCAGCGTGACCAGCATCGGCGCCGTCATTGGCCTTGCCGTCATCGTCACCAACGCTGCGATCAGAACCATGCTCACCGTCGTCGACGTCGCCACGATACTGCGCCCGCCTGAATCGCCGACTTGCACGGAAGCAACCGCGCGTCAGCGCGGCCTGCGAGACGCGCCGCGGCCAGCCCCAGCGCGGCCGCGCCAGTCGCGCCAAACAAGCTGGCCGCTCTGCGCACGAAGCAGCGCGCGCCAGCGCGGCCGCAGCGATGCGCCAGCCCGCGCCAAGCAGCGATCGCAATCACCGCCGCATGGGGTTTGCAAACCACGTCGCGGGTGAGAGGGCGGGATGATTGCGAGCGCGGTGGAGTTGACAACTTCGAGCGCTGCAAGGTGAATTCTCCTCTCTAAAAATAAAACAAACTCTACCCCCCGTGATTATGGGTTCCGCACTTCGCATTGCAATTTGCATGCGAGTCTACCCCATCGTCCATCCTAAAGGCCAGCATCGCCCCCCCCCGCCATCCTGCGCAAAAACACTATGCGCGCGCACTCTGTTATCAAAAATTACAAATGTCCGAAAATCCATTGCGAAATACGGTAAGAAGTGCACGAGCGGGCGTCGTCGCGCGCGCATGCCGAAATCCTTCAGAAAGCATGTGTGTCATACGGATTGTAAAATCGGGTGTCAAACAGAAACCATATACTTAGCCAGACGAAAGACCCAACCACATGCCGCTGCGAGAACCGCAGTGTCAGAACCGCTTCCGGTGGAGCTCCCAATGGGGCCAGGAACCGCGTGGCGGGCTTGCTGATTCGGCCGCGGTGGTGTCACTCGAACCCTCCCACTGGAACCTTCGGTGGAGCCCCATATGAGGCCGCGAACCGCGCGAGGGGTGCGCCAAATAAGGCACGGCGGTGCCATGCGAACCGCCCCGCTGGAGCCTTCGGTGGGGCCTCCTACGGGGCCGCGCAACTCGCGAAGGGATGCGCCGAATTGGGCGCGGTGGTGCCATGCAAACGCTCCCACTGGAACCTTCAGCGGAACTCCCCATGGGGCCACGAACCGCGCGAAAGGTGCGGGGTGCGTCGGACTAGGCGCGGCGGTGTCATGCGACCCCCCCGCTGGGGCCTTCGGTGGAGCTCCCCATGGGGCCACGAGCCGCGTGGCGGATGTGCTGGATTGGGCGCGGTGGCGCCATGCGAACACTCCCACTGGAGTGTGCGGTGGAGCTCCCTGCGGGACCGCGATCCGTGCGAGGGGCGCGCCGAATTGGGCGCGGTGGCGCCAGGCGAACCCTCCCACTGGAGCCTTCGGTGGAGCCCCTATGGGGCCGCGAAGCGTGTGAAGGGTGTGCCGAATTGGACGCGGCGGTGCCATGTGAACCCCCCACTAAAACCTTCGGTGGAGCCCACTATGAGGCTGCGAACTGTGTGAGTGGTGTGCCTAATTGGACGCGATGGCGCCATGCAAATCCACCCTCCCACTGGAACCTTCGGTGGAGCTCCGCATGGGGCCACGAAGCGCGTCAGGGGCGCGCCGAATTGGGCGTGGTGGCGCCATGCGAACCATGCCATTGGAACTTGCGGTGGCACTCTCTATGGGGCCACGAGACGTGTGACTGGTGTGCAAATTTGAATGCGGTGGAGCCATGTGAACCCTCCCACTGGAGCCTTCGGTGGGGCCCCCCATGTGGCCGCGAAGCGCGTGGGGGGTGTCTCGAATTTGGCGCGGCGGAACCATGCGAGCGCTCCCACTGGCGCCTGCGGTGGAGCCCCCATACGGGGCCGCGAGCGGCGCGAGGGGCGTGCCGAACTGGGCGCGGCGGCGCCGTGCGAACCCTCCCGCAGGAGCCTTCGGTGGAGCTCTCTATGGGGCCGCGAAGCGTGCGAGCGGTGTGCTGAATTGAACCCGGCGGCGCCATGCGAAAACTCCCAGTAGACCCTTCGGCGGGGTTCCCTGTGATGCCACGAAACGCGTGAGGGGTGTGCAAAATCGGGCGCGGTGGTGCCACGTGAACCCTCCCACGGGAGCCTTCCGCGGAGCTCCTATGGGGCCACGAAGGGTGCGAGGGGTGCCCCGACACGGCGGACACGCGGAGGGCGGAGGCACGTACGGAAG